TCGCGTGGCAACTTAACAAAATGATGCTGAAACGAGACAAAGTTGAACTCGCTTATTTAAAATAAATCACTCTTAGAATTCTTTTCTGATAAACGATTCAGTAAATCAAACGTTTTCCAGATAAATAAATTCAAAATCGATGAGTTTTTGTTAGAAAGATGAATTATTGGATATTTTAAAAGAATATTTATGTATAAATTCTATTTAACTTCATGATAAAAAATACTTTGTTCTACTTTTGAGTTTTTCCTCAGAATAACAAATGAGTTATGAAAACGAATATGAAAAGATTTCAATCGATGATATTTATTTCTTCTTCTCTCTGTTTCCTTTTTTTTTTCTTTTTTACAGAAACTATTCACTTTCTTTATGTTTTAAATGTGTATAACATAGAGAGAAAGGATGAGATATTTTCTATACGTATACAACTTTTCTCTACGTTTACATAAAATAGTTTTTCATATTTAATCAAATACAAGTGTTACTTGAAGAAATTTTCATGTGTATTTGAATGAGAAAGTTGAGAGATATTCTCTTTCTTCTCGATAGTCCTTGTTCAATGAATGTAAAGAATGAAAAATTGTCGATATTACATCATTGCTTGTGAAGGTGACATTTTTTTTCTCTTCGTATATATTGAGTAATTCACAAAAATCATTTGAATATCGAAGAGACTTTTTTTTTCATTTAGAGAGAGAGAGAGAGAACACAAAATGTTTTTTTATTACTCTACAATGTTAGAATAGATCGACGTAAAACTTTGACGTTCTTTTTTTTCCTTCATAAAAGAACATTTTCTTGTGCAAAGAAAGAAAAACGAAGGTGAATTTAGAATATCTAAGTAGTTGAATCATCTTTCAATAGACAAAATATCATCAATTGATTTTATTGGAAGACGAAGACATAATGGAAGGTAAAAAACTCATTTCTGATTGATTTCTTTTTTCATTATTAAGATTTTCAACAAAATTTAGATCCAACAGAATTTAATTTATTACACAATGATCATTTAATGAAATCCAATGGAAAAATTCGAAAAGCAATTGGTTATCCAACTTTTTTTCTATTAATCATTGGTAGTCTTGGTCTCCTTTGTTTAATTTCTGCTGTAATCTTAACAATAATTGGTTCTCTTGGTCTTCGTGATTATGGTTTTGCCAATAATCCTCTTATCGCTGGAATAATTCTTTTTGGAATTGGAGGTGCTTTTAGTATTGTTGCTTGTATCTCTGTTGGTTTGAAAAAATAAATAAAAGATTTTCATATAATGTATATTCAAACACAAAAATCAGTAACAAAAAAAAAGAATGAAAATTTTCTAATAATCATGTTCGAGTTATGACATCATGAAAAGTACATGTAACACATTTCAAATGAACCTTTTACAAAGGTTTCTTTTTTCCTCTTTGAATATNGACTCGGGAACGGGGTCTCGCGTTCCCGTTCTCAGAATGGGGAATGGAGTATAGCGTTCCCATTCCCCGAATGAGAAATGGGATGTAGCGTTCCCATTCCCGGAACGGGGAATGGGGTATCGCGTTCCCGTTCCCAAACGGAGAACGAACAACGTTTTTTAATTGGTACTGTGTACGATCGCGTGTCAAAAGTATAGGTATGCGTAAAAAAATGCTGTAGGATGAATGATAAAATCCATTCCATTCCCAGGAATGAAACTCTAGGGAACGGGGAACGCTGACACCCCTACTGTGTATGGAATTTGGAACATATTTTGCACGTTTCACACTTCTTGTAACGTATGGCTGTCATCATTTTGATTCACTGGATATTCGAAGCTTAATTATTTGAAGGCCAAATAATTCTTTCCTAAAGAATTCCAAGGTGTTATAGGCGACATCTCTTTCATATACATATACGTTTTTTTCTCTCTCTCTCTGCCTAGATCAATTGTTATACCTTCTATCTCCCTAGATCTTTTGTATTAGTGATATCTTCCTTTGTTCCTGTGATATCTATTCTCTTTTCTTTGTACGTTGGCATATAAATATGTACGTGTGATAGTGTGAAGAGAGAGCAACGAGAGGAGTGTTTTTCCACGCGTGTAACTTTTCATTTTCACAATAAACTAAGAAGTTCCGAAACCACAAACCTCTTGTCTCTAATACAAGGCATCAAGTATAACAAAATCTCTCGATTGAGTTGCACAAAAATTGAAATATTTTGCAAAAGAGACAGTTCAATAGAGTAGACCTTTGACGTTGTACATGATTCTGTGAATAGCAAATAATGTACAGTATTGAATCAATTTGTACTTCTTTATTTTTTTGAACAAACGTATGCGTCACCAACCTTCAATAGAGCAGTATATGACAAAGAAGAGAAGAAACTTCATGACGTATAAATAAGAACAAGAGAAAGCAAACAATGATCATAATACAAGTGCTGAAAACAACATTTGGACTGAAGAGACACGACAACGGCTCGAATCCCTAAACCTAGTCCAGACCACATGAAATCTCGATGACACTTTAAAATGCCATCAGTCTCAAAAAGATTCACGTCTCGTTGTCCACTTGGATATCCAACCGTATTTCGTTACCTATAGCCAACAGTTTATCCTATTGAATAATCATCTCATTATCTCCTACCTAACTAAGTTATTTAAAATCGGAGGGATTTTAGTGATTTTCGTCATTAAACAACGTGTAACGAGATTTAGATGAATGAATACATCTTCGACAGCTGTGGAATTTAAGTGAATTTGATCGTACAATACAACTACTCGCTAACCGAACTATACTGCTCAGAATCTTGGAATCTTGAGTAACGAATATCATTTTCACCATCTTGAAGGTACGTTAGGGTACTCGTGAAGGTGAATAACAGTACACAGATCAGATCTCTTACGTACAGACTACACGTTATTTATTTGAAAAAAGATAAATAAAAATCGAACTTTTTTTTCTATTTCATGTCTTCGTTGAACTCTTTCATCGATGTTCATCATTCAAAGAAAATTTTCAACGAGACAACTCCGAAAATGCACCAAAGATTGAACAGATCTCAAATAAAAATCATTTGAGACATGAAAATATTTCCTTTCAACACAAAACTCCTTCCACTTTCCTTCTTCTTAATGAAATCATCTATTTTCCCCTTTCCAACTTCACTTCTACTGTTTACAGTTCAAACAAATGAAAAGACACTCTGAACATTGTCTTTCAATGAGAATATCAATGATTTCTTTTTTCACACAACTCTAAATGAGATCTTTGTCTTCAAATTAAGTTTCAACATAACTTAAAACACTGATTTACTGAAAATCGTCAAACTAGTCATTAAACTCCAAATATTTTATCGGTCTTTTTCTCAATAGAGAAGTCGAACATCGTTTTGAAAGTGTTTCTTCACAACATTCTTTCCATCATTTAAAAAAAGAATCAATGAAACAACTGCAATGTTTGGTTGTTCTCTTTCTCTCCATCGAACATATTCAAGGTAAGCACTTCATCCTCGTCCTTCATCTTGCCTTCTTCTTCTCCTCTGAACAAAAGGTATTTCGTTCAATCAACCGAATATCTCTCTGAACTCTTCATGGAATCCCAATGCAGCAATCGTTGTCAATCAATCCATCATTGGATCAACCATCTCTGATTTCTTCATCACCACAAACAACTCCATCTTTATCTCCAATGGACAACAAGGACAAGTTCTTCTTCTTGACTCTGCCAACAGTGGCAATGTCACAGATACGAGGAACACTTCCATCAACTCATCGAGTCTCTTCGTTGGACAAGGAAACCAAGTGTATTTTGATTCGTTCTCTTCAGTCACTGGTGGTGTCAGTCAAATAGGATGGAATTCATCAACACATCCAACATTGATCATCAGCCTCTGTCAGCAATGCTTTGACATCTTCGTTGATTCAGATGAGAATCTCTTCTGTTCCATCTCAGCTCGTCATCAAGTTCTCTTCAGATCATTGCAACAACCGTCAACTCATCTGATGATCGCTGCAGGAACAGGATCGAAAGGATCGACAGCAACAACACTTTCACAGCCCAAAGGCATTTTCGTTGATACATCTATTGGAGATCTCTTTGTTGCTGATTGTGACAACAATCGAGTGCAGTTGTTTCATCATGAATCTCTCGTTGCACAGACCGTCGTGGCCAATCGATCATCCAACGTCACTTTCACTCTCGACTGTCCTTCACACATCGTTTTAGATTCGAACAAACTCTTGTTCATTGTTGATTCCAACAATGGCAGAGTCGTTCGGCAGACATCAAATGGTTTCACTTGTATTGTCGGATGTGGAGGTACACAAGTGACTTATCCGTCGAGAATCGCTTTTGATTCAGTGGAAAATCTGTTTGTTCTTGATCAAAGTGCTCATCGGTTGTGGAAGTTCGATCTGATCACTTGGAAATCTGCAGGTTTTCTTTCCTTTTTCTACGAGATGACGTTTTGATAGCTTTTGTCAGGGACGACGAATGGATCTTTAGGATGGATCACCACGGGAAATATGAGTGTTGCACGATATGGACACACAGCTACGATTCTTTCCAATGGAACAGTTTTAGTTACTAGTGGATACAATGGTGTTTGTCTGAGTAGTGCAGAATTGTATAATCCATTGACAGGCAGTTGGACAACAGGCACTATGAGTGTTGTCCGATCTGCTCATACAGCTACTAGTCTGTCCAATGGAAATGTTTTATTCGCTGGTGGAGACAATTGTGGTAGTTTTCTGAGCAGTGCAGAATTATATCAATAAAACTTCATAACACAAAGAATAATTTCATTTTTTCACCAATACACAAACGTGCAGAATCTACCCGTGTGCGCAACCGACTGATTGGGAAAATCTCTTGAAAAACCATTTTCCCTCTTGGAAAAACTCTACATCATTATACATACGCGTACACATTCGTTTTTCTTTTGCTGTTACTGATGAGTTCTTGCTTTTCCCCCTGTCTTGTATGGAATATATCTACTGGTATTTTCCTTAATCTATGGAATGAAATTTATAGTACCATGGGTTTCTCCACTTTTTAAAATCATATATATTTGTTAAATTGTTGTAAATTAAAAGAGATAAATCTAGAAATCTATTAACTACGATTAACATTTAATAAAAATGCGTTCAAACAAACAGGAGGCATTGTGCTTTTATTGTGAACGGGTAGGACGAAAAGATAAATTCAGAGACCATTTGAAGAATAAACATTCTAACGAAAAATTCAAGTTAAAGGTATTTGCAAATGACTCGGGAGTATATCATTTTCAAAAAAAGATAACTGAGAAAACGTGAACAACAACAACAACATCAATCATTAACACTCTTACTTTGCCTTCAATATCGTCATCTGGAACTCCGTCCGTTGCAAGTACATCATCAAGTCCAACAAAAAAAACTTAAATCACTGAATTCTGTCCAGGATCAATTACTAGTATTGATGGGACAACAGCTTTCAAAAATATCTGATGCTATCGAGAATATTCAAATAGAAAAAACTACGAAAGAATCATCATCTACAAAAGTAGATGATTTTGGAATATTGGAGCGATTTCGAAATTTAAAAGATTGATAAAAGTTCATTTTGCGAATCAATTACATAGGTGATGCAGTCGAGAACAAGAAGAAAAGAAACGAGAATTAGAAGAATTTATCGTAAAAAATAAAAATCTGAAGTGTATGTTGGGAGAGTTGCTCTGTATTACATCCGAAGTGGTTTAGGTGGCCTTGAATTTGTTGAATCAACCAACTTAGTAGATTTATGTGAAGCAGTTGTTGGTACTTACAGGTAAATGCAAAATTTTTCTGCAGCTCTTTTCAATAATATATAAATGTCTCTCGCATATTTAGATACAGTCGATGGTTTTTTGGAAAGCTTCAAACATCAGTGACAAATGATAGGAAAGAACGAGTAATTGCATATCTACAAGAAATTTATTCCATTACGCAACGTCGTCGAGTATTCAGTTTAACATATGATAAAGTCACGTTGTTGAGAAGATCAAGTCAAATCAAAATGATGATACTAATAGTTGATGATCATCTGACGCCTATCGACCTTCAATCGTCATTATGTAAAACCGAACTGTCTAGAAAAGAATTAACAGAGAACTGTTTTTGTGGAATGGAATCATCTGGCTTCTCACAATCAATATCAAAGCAGAAGCTAGTCGACTGTGCTGTTGATGGCGTAGATATACACTGAAATGTTCGTGAACATTTATCTAAGATGATTAGTGTAACAGAACAGTGGTTTACTCGAATCGGCCATTAATGATGTCTAAAGATAACACAATTCTTATGGTTAGGAAAGTCTATTCAAATATATTCTGTGATTATGGAAAAATACTCGTATATGATAAACAATATGAACATCTGTTAGAAACAGCAGAATCAATAGAAGAAGAAATATTATACAACCTAAACAGTTTCAAACTATTCGCTTTGTTAGTTCAGAACGATGTATTTATGAAACTATGATGAGAGATTGGTCAACATTCTATGAATTACATAAACAAGACAGTATTGTCAGTGCATCACTAACTGAAGACGGTTTAATTACACGAACTTGGCAAAGTGTTGATTGTAATAAGAATACTTTAAAGGTAAATTATAATCTGATTTTTACGATTAACATTGTGAATTGTTGCCTTCTTTCTTTTGTTATAGATCAAGGAGATTAAATCTGTTGATTTTGTTTGTAAACTTGTGAGATTAATCGATATATTTAATATTATTGTGAAAACATCAATACTTGTACAACATGTAAACAAATATCCATGAGGATATCATGATGCAATACGGGATTTACAAAAATCTCGACATGATTATGCTGAACTACTTGAACATCTCGATTTAAATACAACTTTAAAAAAAAGAATAGTATCGAAGGTGAAATTTTGTGTTACATATTTGAACATACACACATGTCCAATCACTTTTGTCCCTACTTAGAATAGGAAGGAGATGTGGCAACGTTATTGACTATGAAGATTTTGAAGATATTGAGGAAAACAAGTGACACCCAAGTCGATCAATCCCATAGTCAGATCCCACAGAAATTCGACGAATTCGATCGGGTTTAACATAGGATTAGTTGGTCTGGGATGTATGTTTGAGAAATCTTTGACATTTATTTGCATCAATCTAATACTAATTTACAATTATAAAAGTAAGATTTACTTTTAAAGTTGTTGACAAAATTAAGAGAATTCTTTTATAAGAAAAAAGTATTGAAAATATTCCATGTTGAGTTTGGAATCAAAGATTTCAAATAGATGGAAACATTGAATTCTTTTTTGTTGTCTAGTTCGATTTGTGTTTTTGTCACGCATTTCAATCTCAACTGAATTCTCATGTCCAATATGACATATATTTATAAATTTGAATGATCTGGAACATCAGATTATTCAAATCAAACATTGCTACGAAAATATTTCTTTATCAGAGTTCTTTTCTGATAAACGATTCAGTAAATGAAACGTTTTTCAGATAAACAAATTCAAAATCGATTAGTTTTGTTAGAAACACGAACTATTCGATATTTTAAAAGAATATTTATGTATAATTCCATGTAACTTCATGATAAAAAATACTTTATTCTACTTTTGAGATATTCACAGAATAACAAATGAGTTATGAAAAGACTTCCATCGATGCCATTTATTTCTTCTTCTCTCTATTTCCTTTTTTACAGAAACTATTCACTTTCTTTGCGTTTTAAGTGTGTGTAACATAGAGAGGGTGAGGATGAGGTATTTTCTATACGTGTACAACTTTTCTCTACGTTTACATAAAATAGTTTTCATATTTAATCAAATTCAAGTGTTATTTGAAGAAATTTTCATGTGTATTTGAATGAGAAAGTTGAGAGATATTCTCTCTCTCTCTCCTCTTTCTTCTCGACAGTCCTTGTTCAAAGAAAAATGTAAAGAACGAAAAATAGTCGATATTACATCATTGCTTGTGAATGTGACATTTTTTTCTTCTTATATATTGAGTAATTCACAAAAATCATTTGAATATCGAAGAGACTTTTTTTTATAGAGAAAGAACACAAAATGATTTTTTATTACTCTACAATGTTAGAATAGATCGAGGTAAAACTTCGACGTTCTTTTTTTTTCCTTTATAAAAGAACATTTTCTTGTGCAAAGAAAGAAAAACGAAGGTGAATTTCGAATATCTAAGTAGTTGAATCATCTTTCAATAGACGAAGACGAAATGGAAGGTAAGAAAATCATATCTAATTGTCTATTATTGAGATTTTCAACGAAATTTAGATCCAACGGAATTTAATTTGTTACACGATGATCATTTAATGAAATCCAATGGAAAAATTCCAAAAGCAAGTCGTTATCCAACTCTTTTTCTACTAATCATTGGTGGTCTTGGTCTCCTTTGTTTAATTTCTGCTGTAATCTTAACAATAATTGGTTCTCTTGGTCTTCGTGATTACGGTTTTGCCAATAATCCACTCATCGCTGGAATTATTCTTTTTGGAATTGGAGGTGCTTTTAGTATTGTCGCTTGTATCTCTGCTGGTTTGAAAAAATAAAAGAAACATTTTGATACAATGTACATTCAACACAAAAATCAGTAGAAAAGAACGAAAATTTTTTAATAATCATGTTCGAGTTATGACATCAATGAGAAGTATATGTAACACATTTCAAATGAACCTTTTAGAAAGGCTTCTTTTTTCCTGTTTGAATGTTGACCGAACAAGAAAAAAAAAGTTCATTACTATCGAACAGTTTTTTTCTCTTTTTCTTCTGATGACCTTAGACGTACTTTTACAGGAAAGAAAAAAAACTGTCCTATTGCTGTTCTATGAAGGTACAATGAACTAAAATGGATTGAGATTCTTTTTTTCTTTCATAGAAGAACATTTTCTTGTGCAAAGAAAGAAAAACGAAAGTAAAGATTGAATATCCAAGTAGATCGATCAACCTTCAACAGACACGACGAACACAAAATGAAAGGTAAATTCAAAAAATGCAATGTTTTAGAATGTCACGTTTTCTTTTCTTTTCGAAATGAACGATTATATCTTTTTAGTAGATTTCGAATATTGTCAATCAATTGATTCATTTAATCAATTGGAATTCACATCAAAGAAAATCGAACGTCTTCGTGGTGGTGGTGGAGGTTATGCAACTCGTTTTGCTCTTATTAGTGGAACTCTTGGTTTCATTTGTTTAATTCCAGCGATCATTTTGACTCTCACTGGTGCTGCAAAGCTCAATGATAGTGATAATGGTCGACTTGTTGCTGGAATTATTCTCTTTGCTTTATCAATAACTCTCATTGTTTTAGCTTTTCTTACGTGTTGTTTAAAATAAAGAAACAATAGAAAGAAAAATATTCTTCTTGTCAAGTTATGAGGAAATCGAGGTTTGTTCATTAGATAAATTAAATTGTCTGAAGATTTGGAAAAAAAATCTTTATTCATGACTTTCGATGAGTAGACAATTTCAAAATAAAGAAAAATCTTTATTTAATCTTTACTTATGAATGAACTTAATAAGTTCTTCTCAAAAAACATTTTTATCAGAAGAAAATCTTCACTTGATATTTTCTGTTTTTACTAAAGAAATAAAGTTCATTTAGCGTTGAATTCTTGAGAAAGTTTCTCTAATAAATATGTCTTTGTTATACATTGGTCAACAAGTAACAATTTTCGGTGGATACTCGATGATGATTGCTGGTGTCTTTGGTAATATTATGAATATAATCATATTCACAACTGTTCGAACATATCGAACAAATCCAGGAACATTTTATTTTCTTTCTGCATCGATTAACAATTTGATTTATATAATAGTGAATTTGCCATTTCGTATTCTAAGTGTTGGATATAACATTGATTTTACCATTCATTCAGCATTTTGGTGTAAATTAAGAAATTATCAATATGTAATGCTCGGTCCAATATCGTACACTTGTATTTGTTTGGCAACAATTGATCAATATTTTGTTTCATCATCAAATCCTCGTATTCGACATATGAGTAATATCAAATGGTCTCATCGAATATTGATTATTATTGTTATTATTTGGTGTCTTCATGCCATTCCGGTTTTTCTTTATGTATATAATGTTCCACCGAATTCAACATGTGTAAATGCCAATGCAATTTATCGTGTTTATATGACAATTTTTGGTGTTGTATTTCTTTGTGCAATTCCTACAGGAATTTCTCTTCTCTTCGGATGGTTAACTTATCGAAATATTCAACAAACAAAAACTCTTGTTGAACAACATGCTGATCGACAAATTGTTCGAATGACGTTTGTTCAAGTTCTACTAATGATCATAGCTGATGTTCCTTACGCAGTTTTCTCGACTTATCTTTCAATTACGAATCAAAGATTGAAAAGTTATGATCAGCAAGTCAATGAATATGTTCTCATGCAATTTGCGATGCTTATTTCTTATGTTTGTTTTGTTGTAAGTTACTCATATTTCGCTCACAAAATTCGATTTGATTATTTCGTATTTTAGGGAAGTTTCTATTTGTTTTGGATTTCATCAAGTCGATTTCGTCAAACAGCAAAGAAAAAATTGTTTTGTTGCAAGAAAGAGTTGATTGTGTATCCATCACATACATAATTATTTAGGGGAAAAAAAGAACCAAGAAACGTCTTCATTGGAATTTTTGTTGTCTATGTTTGTGTTTATCGTAGATTTTTCTTTGTTTATGGAAAAGCGAAAAGAAGATTTACTCTATAAAAGAATCCACATTGAAAGTGAAATTGACAAATTCCCAACGATTGTGTATCTCTGTCGATTCTTCTCATTTATCTCATAGGAAAGATTTTAGTGAGAAATACTTCGAAGTGAATCTTTTTCAGTAACTATTCTCTAAAGACTATAATACTTTCTGAGTAATGGAACTGCTATAGAAAAATTGGTTTTTTTCTATTCTTTTGTCTTTTTATCGACAATCGTTATGCTTTGATTCATTTCTGAAATTCAATTTTCAATTCGTTAATTATTGGAATTTCCAAAAATAAGAAACAAAATTCATGAGAAACCTTTTGAACATTTTTTTTTCGTTGTTTTAAAGTAAATTTTGAAAATTAATTCAATACGAATGAAAACGCCATACGTCGGTAAAATACGTTTCATTCGAAAAACGTTTGATCAGTTTTTGAAGAACAAAAGTGATAAGATAAATCAGAATTGAAAGAATGATAATAAATGATCGTATCGGCACTTTCATTTATCTTCAAAATCATTTATAATCACATAGATGTTTCTTTCAACTTTTTAGGAAAGAATTCTGAAAAAATTCATTGTTTACAATTTCTTTTCTTCTCATTTGTACTTCTACAATATGATAAAATAATCAAATTTCAATGAAACGATATGTTCGACATCAAATTCATTTGCATTCAGTAACCTTTTTTTTTGTTTGATGAAGGCTTTTTCTGCGTTCTTAGAACTTCTCTTGATTAAAAAAATGGGTCAGATGAAGAATGAAAACATGTTGTCTTCTCAGACAAATCCTTGATTTCATATTTTTTGACATAGTTACAGTTTGAGTAATGTTTCATTTTTTATTTAGAATGAAGGAATCATCTGATATTCATATCACTATTCAACGAATTGGACGGAACAAAACTAAAAATTCTCCTCAAAAGTTAAATCAAGTTGAATATTAAATTCTTCTTCTCTTTTTCAATTTTCAATACATTTGTTTAGATTTCTCCACATGATACGATTCAAAAAACATCAAAACTATCTGATATTTCTACTAAAATCCATTTCAATGAACATTTATCATCAAACCAAGTAAGAAAATTGTAATTTAATTGTTCTGGAATATATTCTCTTTATTTTAGAAGCACAACAGTACTACTAATCGTTCTCTTAAAGTAAAAATGATTATTTTCAATAATTTGATATTTTTTATAAAATCAAAATAGATCAGAAATATTTCATCAGATCGAAACGATACAATTACAGATCATCATAAAAAATCGAGAAATTTTGAAAAGAAGATGTACGTAATTATGATATTTTATACTAATTATATTTGTGTTAATCTTATTTATGATATAGAAAGAAAAAATGTTCCATAACACGAATTATTTCTTTTACAATTATCACTCTACTTATTGGTATCGCAATAGCAATAATTTTGTTGGCTATATTATTCAAATCGAAAAAACAAATAACACCAAATTCTGGTAGGATAAATATATTGTATATGAAATTATCTGGGGATTTTGTAGGTTTTATACCTGTATTGAGATGGAATAGTACGGGAATCACAGTTGCAGGTGTAGTTAATGTATTTGGGAATGGAAGTAATCAATTAAATCAACCTAAAGATATAATATTTCTTCATCCAAATATAATTTATATTGCTGATTACGGTAATCATCGAGTACAGAAGTATGAACTGGGCAATTTTAGTGGTGTAACTGTTGCCGGTGAAACTAATGGACTGGGAGGTTCATTATCCAATCAATTGAAAAATCCATCGTGTATATTTATTGATTCATCTAATGGTATTTATGTGTCTGATTCAGGAAATAATCGTGTTCAATACTGGTCTAGTGGTGCATTAACAGGATTTACTATGGCCGGTAGTCCTACAGGTTTATTTGGAAATACAAATAGTACATTTAATGATCCAGTAGGTCTTGCACGTAATGAAACAACAGGTACACTCTATATTGCTGATTTCGGTAATAATCGTGTCATGAGTTATCTATTCAATGCATCGTCAGGAACTTTCGCTGCTGGTAGTAGCATGTTTGGTACCGGAGTAACACAATTATGGAAACCAGCTGGTTTATATTTCGATACATTATCAAATAGTCTTGTGATTGCTAATCATAATGCTGGAAATATTGTTCGATGGATTCTTGGTGAAAGCAATTGGACACTTGTTGCTGGTGATGCTAACGGAGCATCAGGTAGTAATGCCACACTATTTAAAAATCCTCAACAAATGACGTTTGATCCAATGGGTAATATGTATGTTGTTGATAAAAATAATCATCGTGTGCAATTATTCATCAATGGATCAAAAGAAGGAATGACAATAGCTGGTGTTACTAATTCAGCTGGTTCTTCTGCGACACTACTTAATACACCTTACGGAATTGCATTGGATAATCAACTCAATTTATACATTGCAGATACTTATAATCATAGAATTCAAAAATTCCTACGTTATTGACGATATCAATATGTCATCTTTCCGCAGACTCATCTGATTTAATCGTTATCTTATTCACATATATTTTAATCGCTTTTATCACACGTTATCTGTTATTTTTTGCGCAGCATAATGTTGTCTCTTCCTTATCTTTGTTGTTAATTATATTGAATTTCAAGTATTTAGAACTTATTATATGAAATCTTTTACGTGTCGAGCACATAGTTAACAAACGGTGGAAATGATCATCTGAGAAGTATTTATCGGCTATGTACGTTGATATGACTCGCTTCTTCTTAACCATTCAAATTCATTAAAGATCAACTTATTGGGAGAAAAGAAAATGAGTTAATTTGAGCTCCTATTTTGTTAAAACAACTTGTAATTGATATAATCTTTAATCTATATGTCTATCAAAAACCGACGAATTACATACAACCAGGATCTGTAAGTTATTTATCTTTGGAAGAAAAAAGATTTCTTTTGTCTATATGTCATTGATAGATTGTCTGGTGGTATTAACATTCTTTCTACTCATATGAACTCAAAAGATAAGCAATGAAGAAGATTTTTACACATATGCAAAGTATTCTTTGCTTATTCAAACATCGGTCATTATTCTTTAAAAAAATAACAGAACAAAGTGACGATGTAGATAAGAGCAAATCAAACCTATTCTCATTTTTCGTTTTTTTCCCACAAAGTTGTATATGCATATTAATACTTTCTCTCATTGAAAATATCGAACATAACTTCTATATGATTTGAAAAAGTTCTCGGATTCAAAATGATTCTTACTGTTATTAGATGATTTTTTTCCAACTAAAAACAGACGTGAGATACTCAAGGAAAGTGGGTCTTTTCATTTTGTGATTCTTATATTTTGGTTCAATTTCTTCTATTTAAACGAAGAATTTTATTTATATGGATGTGAATCGAGTGAACAAAACGAATCTTCAGAAATCGATCTCATTCATTGAACACACTCACTCACTCCATACCCTAAAGACGTCATCGTTACCAGAGAGAACTTTCCGTTTCGAGTGTAAAATGCTTTTAGTCGAGCAATCCGTTCTACAATCACATTATTCGTTACTCTCTATGACAATAAACTCATTTCATGGCTCAACAGAATTCACTTTGATGAATAAACATGAAGTACTTCAGCCGAAGAAATAAATCTAGAGCAAAGAGTATGTTTTTACATGGTGAAAGTGAAATAATCAATAAGGAAAAAGAAGGATATCAATGTTAAAAATGATGAAATGTTAAGATTTGTTGAGTTATTTTTCAAAAGATTGTCCAAATAAGTTCTCACTGTGTGATGTACATCATCGATTGCAATAACATTTTCTGGATTGGAATAATTTGCACCAGCACTGACAAATCCATGTTTCATATTCTCATAGACTTTGTATTGACATTGACTACCGAATGATTTTTGATTGAGAATTGATGTTATATTATCAAATGATGGATCATTTCCAGCACGAATAAATAACATTGGAACTTGAAGTACTTTTGCATCAAGTACATTGAGTTGAGATCCATGAATACTAATACCAGTAAAATAAGGTGTTTCATTCCAAGAATTATTATTTCCATTTCCACATGCTTTCATTACACGAAGACCACCCCAACAAAAACCAATTGTAGCTAATTTCGTATAGTTTTCTGAGTGAAGATATGCATTAACAATCATTAAATCTTCTGTGACACGAGACCATGTCGCATTTGCTGTTGGTTGATCTAAAATTTTTCAAGAAAATTGAATTTTTTCACATTAACTCTTTGAACATACTTCTGAAAAAATCTGGCATTAACACTCGTATTTGATATTCATATGCTAAACGTTCACAGAACAATCGAGTATTCGTCACATTAAAACCACGTATATCATAGAGAACAATAATAGCAACTTTAGTGTTCCGTGTACTACTTCCATCACCCATAACATCGTACACATTTAAGTCGCTATCACCCACTCGATGCACAGTCCCCAATGGATAAGATGAATTCTCAATAGCAACTAAATATTTAACAACACAATGATAATCAATACATCGATATGTTCAAATGTTTACCCAAGATCTCTAAACTTAAAATTATTATTAGATAAAAAATAGACGTCATGTTGATAACAATGCACTTTTCAAGTCTTTATGATAAAAACAAAAACACCTCTTTTAAAATACTTTTCGAAGTTCTAAAACTACGCATTACATTTTTTCTATTTGTTCTTTTCTCCATTGTTGTTCTTAGGATTTGTGTCTACTAGTTGAAATCAACTTGATATTTCAAAAGATAAATACAATCGTGTAACAGATTAATAACGGTAACATAAAAACACGTTGATCGTCTTTATTCGGATTATTTTTGGACTTTTCAATAAGAGAAAATTCTGAATTCTAATAATAATTTAGTCTCGATACAATTTGGGTCATTTGTCTACAATGTCATTGAAAAATGAGTCGAACAAAAAAGAACATTTTTATTTATTTATTTTTTGAAAATGAGAGAAAAAAGAAAGTTTTTCTGAAATGAAAATTGAACATTTGATTGAAAAGAAAAGTTTTGTTTTCAAAGTAAAATTTGAATTAAATTCGTTGAAATAATTGAATTCGTTGATTTTGTGAATCGGAAATATATAAACTTCTATTTTGATCAAAAGTAATCGCATTTGGATAATTAAATAAATAAGGATTTGTTCCTGCTGCTTGAATAACTCCAGCGATTGTTCTTCCTTTTGTTCCATCACCTTGAAAATATTGAATTCGTTGATTTTGACAATCAGCAATAAAAGTATTCATTTGATCATCAATATCAATTGCACAAATTTGATTAAATAAAGTTCGTGATGTTCCATTTAATTCACTACTAACACTTCCAGCAATTAATGTCCATTGAGTTGAATTCAATGTCCATCGAATAACATTATAACCCATCTGTTGTCCAATCACAAGACTATTTGTTAATGAATGATATTTTAAAGAAATTGGAGTTACAACATAAGTATTTCTTAATTGATTTGTATTAAATGATAAATAAATATTTGTTTGATTATTTATTAAATTAAATTGAACAATTCGATTATTTCCATAATCAGCAATATAAATATTGGAATTTGTGTCCATTGTAATTGACATTGGATTATTCAATTGAGTATTTGATGAACCAGATTGACCTTTTTTGTTATTTGAAAAGAAAAAAAGAGTTTTGTTTTTCATTTAAGAAAAAGAAATTTAACCTGTTCCAAAAAGATTTGAAGCTTGTTTCGAAGAAATTGTTGTAACTAAAATTCGATGATTTAATGAATCAACAATATACATTTGATTCGAATTAAATTGAATATCATGAGGAGAATTTAATGAAGATGAATCATTTCCACTTGTTCCATTAAAATATCCAAAAATTAAATTTAAACTATTTAATTTAAAATCATAATTAATAATTCGATGAAACATTGAATCAACAAGATAAAGATTTCCATCAGGACCAAATTCTAATGCAGAAATTAATCCAATTGAATTATTTGTATTCATTAAAAGTGTCATTTGATTAATAATTGTAATTCCTTTTGTATTCCATAATAAAACTGTTTCATTATCTGAAAACAAATTCATTTTCATATGAAAACATAATAATTGAATTTATTTCAAAAGAAATACTTTTTTGAACACTTTTTTCGATCGAATAAATAATTGGAACGACAACAATTGTAATGACACAAATGATCAATGCACATGTTATTGAAAGCCAATTGGAACGAATAATTGACCAAAATTTTCCAAAACTTTTTTTATTCAACGAAAAGAAAAAGTCATTCGATATAACAACAATGTCTTTTGTCAACTTACATTGATGATGATTCATCAGAATTTTGTAAAGATTCTTTTTCCGAATTTTTCTTTTCCATTTCGATCTAAAGACAAAAAGAAATGAGAAATATTCAACAAATAATCGACGTTTTTTTTCTTTTCTTATTTTCATATTTGATCATTAGTTGATTTATTCATGCAGAACGTTTTTCTCTGATCGTCATCAGAAAAAAAAGATCGAAATGTATATATCGATATTTTTCTCTTCATTGATCAAAAAAAAAGGTAAATATGACGTTATTTATTATCAAAGGTCAATTTCCATCATCAGTTGTTTTTTTTTCGTTAAGAAAAGTTTTGTTTTCTCAATGGAATTATTTGAAAAAGATGAGAAAAAAGAAGGTGAAACCTGTTATGCCTATGTTGATGCTGAAATGGCACAATTTGAAGAAGTCGCGGGAACCTGTTCGAATAAAGATGATATAAATGAAGCATGTTGTACTGTTCGAAGTGTTACAATTGGATTAATTTATGTCATTGGAATGTCTTTTCTTCATCAATGGGGAAATTTTCAAAAAATGGCTCCATTTATTTCATCTGTTTTAGTTATTGTTACTGCATATCCATTTGGTTATTTATGGTCAAAATTGATTCCAAAATCGAAACCATTTACATTAAAAGAACATGGATTTATTTTAGTAATGGCAAATGTTGCATATATGTTTAATTCCGTCTTTATTTATGCAACATTAACAACAATTAAAGTTTTAGAAAGAGATCAAATTAATTTTGCATATTATTTCTTTTTTATGCTTTCAATTCAATTTCTTGGTTTTGGTTTAGCAGGTTTCTCTTTTCTTTTATTTGAAAAAACAAATTCTTTGTTTCTTTCAAAGGTATTCTTCGTCGATTTTTGGTTTGGCCATCGGAAGTTATTTGGCCTCAAAATCTTCCATTAATTGCTGTTTTACGTACATTTCATGATCGTCAATCAAGTGTTAGTGAAGCTTTATATGGAAATCAACAACAAAGTGTTTTTCAAAAGATTATGAATAATCGTTTATTATTCTTTTTCGTCATAACATTAATTTCATTTACATATGAATGGTTACCATTATATATTATGCCGATTTTAACATTTTTCTCTTGGATGTGTTGGATAAATCCATCAAATGATCCATTGGCACAATTAACAGCTGTACGTGGTCTTGCGATTGGTGGAGGTGGATTAACATTAGATTGGTATACAGTAACACGTTATCTTGGTTCACCATTAATTTTACCTGGTTGGGCATTGATGAACATTGCATTTGGATTTGTTTTAATTATTTGGTTAATTGTTCCAATCGTTTATGGAACAAATATTCGAAATTTTACAACATTACCTATTGGTGGAGTTATTTCAACAGATTTTACGGCATTAAGTTTAGTTACAGCATTTGCTTCATTTGCCAGTGTTACAGCTGTTTTTGTTCATGCTCTTTTATTTCATGGTGTTGATATTTATGAACAATTTATGACAAAAAAATTGGGAAATATGGGTAATGATATGCATGCTCGGATGATTTCTCTTTATCCACCTGTTCCTGATTGGTGTTATTTACAATTATTTGCATTAGCAATGATTACAGCTTGTGTTACATGTGATCATGCGGGTTGGTTAAGTTGGTATTATGTTTTATTAGCATTATTTATTGGTGCTTTATTTACATTACCATTTGGTTTAGTTTCATCAATTACTGGACAATTATTACATAATTTATCTGTTTATTATATTTGTTTATTAATTGGTCAATCTTTGTCATTACAAACATCAGCTAAAACGATTTATTCATTTATTGCTCTTGGTTATGTTGTATTCGTTCAAACATTGGTTTTAATTCAAGATATGAAATTTGCACATTATATTAAAATCGCTCCTCGTTCTTTATTTGCTGCTCAATGTTTAGCTGGTTTAGTTTGTTCAACATTTTCTATTGGAATTCGTTATATGTACACAAAACAAGGTAAAACAGCTGAAAATTGGTCGATTTTTAATAATACAAAACTTGGTTGGACACTTTTAAATGATTATGTTGGATTTTTCAGTGGAGCCAATTTTTCTAATCGAGGTTTATTTTGGGCATTTTTTGTTGGCGCATTTCTACCCGTTCCAGGATGGATTTTATCCAAATTTTCTCGTTTTCGTTGGTTAAATAAATTACATTGGCCATTAATTTTAGTTACAATGGGTTGGATGCCTTCGATTGTACCTGCTGGTGCTCTTTTTACATGGCTTTTAATCGGTTTAATTGTTCATTTTACATTTGGAAAATACAGTTGGAGACAACGACATGTTTATTTAGTTTCAGCTGGTCTCGATCTTGGTCTTAATATCGCATTAATTATCATCAGTTCAGCGTTAGTCAACAAAAATGTTTCATTTCCACAATGGTGGGGAAATAACAATGCATCTGTTTATGATAGTTGTCAAAAAGCTGTGCAAACTTGGTAAATGAACAAAACAAACATTTGGAACAAAAACCCAAACTTTTCTTTTCATTATATTTATTTGATAAATAAAACAAAATACAAAGAGAAAAAAAAGTCGATCTTTCTTTTGATTTATTTCTTATTAAGCACCAACTAAAAGAACAAAAGAATTATTTTGATAACCACGATTTTCTAAATAAAATGAAATATTATAATATCTTCCTCCAACAACACTCAAAACTTGACTTAAATAAGTCATTCCAACATTTGTTTGATCATTATAATAAAAATCGTTTGAATAAGGAAGATCAAATAAAATATCACTGATTGAATTTCGTGTATTTGATAAAATACATTGTGAATATGATTGATTTAAATAATTCGATTCAAAATCTCCATCTTGCATCAAATCAATACCTGTTGTTGTATCAACAAATGTTATTTTATCCAATGACCATGATTTTGTATCATGACGAAAACCAAAAATTAATGAAACTGTTTTTAAAATAACACCAGGACGATAAATATAATTATAATAACGATATGGAAATGGTTCTTCATTAACAATTGAACTTAACACAGCAATTGTTGACATTGATTGTGTACATTCATTCTTTACATATTCTGTAAAACAAACATTTTCATTTGAATTCATTTTCTTTTTTTAGTTTTACCTGGTGGAGCAGAAACTGTTGAATTTGTTGAATCTCCTACAAAGAAAATGATCTTTTTTTTCTTTGCTTTTTCTTAAAGAAAATCTTTGATAATGAAACCTTTTGCAGTACTAAAAAGAACTGGAATTGCAATTGTAACACCAGTTAAGATAAGAATTAAAATAATAATGACAATAATTGTTGACAAAGCTATTTGATGTTTAACTTCTTTTCTTTGAAAGTAAATCTTTACAATTAGATTTCGTCATTTAATCAAAACAAATCAACTTACTCAGCCATTTCAGAAAATAATAACTATCGAATATTCAACGTAGTTGGTTTCTTTTTTCGTCTCTTCTCAAACGAATATATTTCGTTATTGATGAATATTTTTTATCTACGTCGTTTCTTTTTTTTTGTTTATTCGTCAATCATAAGATATGTGCAATGAAGCATTTCATATTTTTATCATTTTTCGATGACATTTTTTTTTCTTTTTATTACATCAAATTGATTGACATTACATCAAGAGAGTATTCGTTATTGCAAATAAACAAAATATTTTCTCTCTTAATTATTCTCATGAAATTGTTCGGATAAAATTGGATCGTTTCGAATCTTATCAATTCGATTTTGAATGTCATCGAGGTCCTTCCATTCGTGTGTATTGGCTTTCCCATAATGTTGAATATATTGATCTCGAAGTATAATCAAAAGATCGTATAATTTGGCATTGAATTTATTATAGGGTTTCTTTTCGAGAACATAATGTTCATCTTTGATCATTCGCTCTAAATATAAACAAAACAAATCTTCAGGATTTTGCTGTTGACTTGTTCTCATGAGCCAATTGGATAAATATGCACTTTCACGAACAAGGTTTTCGATAGGAGATTGAATAACAGATGGAATATATTTGAATGGTTTATCTGATGGATAATATTCTAAATAAGATGAAATTGGTATATGTTGATTGGGAGGACATGAACATGTACCACATTTATTGGAAAACTGATGTGTTGAATCAAAGACAATCCAAAAAGGTCCAATTTGTTTCGATTTTCGATGACATGAATGACATGTTGCACAATTAAAATCAAGTGGTTTAAATCGAATTTCAATTGAATAACTCAAAGAGAATTGAAATAAAATTTGATTTCGAAGAAGATTTCGAATTATTTCAAAGATTGGACGAATTAATCGTCTAATTTCTGGACGAAGAATTTGTTGATTTTGTAAACCTTGATGATGAGCTAAATAACGTTGATTAGTGTTGTTTCGAATTTGACTTAAAAATCTTTTCCATTGTTCAAATGTCATTGACTGACTTTGTTCAGACGAAGCATTTGGAAAACCAAATTTGCCCAGATATTGTTGTATTGTTGATTGAATTAAATATGAACTATCAAATTGAAAAAGATTTTCTCGATTAATCGATTGAAGTTTTGGTGAAATAGATTTGATAATCGATTGCTGACGGCGCTCATCAAGATTATTTGAAAGACATTTGGTGAAACAAATAAAGAAATTTTGTAAAATATTCTCTTGAAAATAATTAAACAATTGAGCGAAAGATCTTTGATAACAATTGAAATCTTTTTCATTTGAATCAATTATCAAACAAATGGCATTGATATGTGTTAATCGATTAACAACTGATAAAATATTTTGCATTACTTTCTCATCATGTTCTGCAAATCCAGGTGTATCAATAAGACTAACTTGTTGATTATTTTCTAAATGAAATGAATAAGATCGACATTGTTGTGTAAATGATTGGCCTTTTTTATCAGAATTTTCATTGGAATCTTTTGGACCAATTTGGATTTGTCGTTCTTCAAATTCATTTTCGATAAGATGAAAAAATGGAATTACAAGGTTATTGATTGAAAAATTTTTTTGAATTTCTCGACGTTTTTTCGATTTGAGAAAATCTGCGAATGTATTGATTAACATTGATTTTCCTGAGTGGATTTTTCCAAGAAATAAAATATGAAGAATTTCTTCGCGACGATTTGATTGAGAAATTGCTCGTGGTTGAGAAAGAATTNATAAGACTAACTTGTTGATTATTTTCTAAATGAAATGAATAAGATCGACATTGTTGTGTAAATGATTGGCCTTTTTTATCAGAATTTTCATTGGAATCTTTTGGACCAATTTGGATTTGTCGTTCTTCAAATTCATTTTCGATAAGATGAAAAAATGGAATTACAAGGTTATTGATTGAAAAATTTTTTTGAATTTCTCGACGTTTTTTCGATTTGAGAAAATCTGCGAATGTATTGATTAACATTGATTTTCCTGAGTGGATTTTTCCAAGAAATAAAATATGAAGAATTTCTTCGCGACGATTTGATTGAGAAATTGCTCGTGGTTGAGAAAGAATTGGTTTGAAAGAATTCAATGGAAATCTTTTCATTTCATTTAACTGAAATGTTGAATAAGTAAAATCGATATAGAAAAGTTTTATTCGATTATCTTTTTTTTTCATTTCATTGAATTCGTTTAATAAATCATTTAATTTTGTCCAATTGGTTTCATTTAAGAAATCATTTGAACAAAGAATTCTCTGAAATTCCTCTTTAACAAGTTGTTTTTCCAATGATTGATCAGTTTCTCTTTGTTGAAACTGAAAATGTTTTTCAATCTTCACATATTGAAAACCTCGTTGAGTCAATTGATTAATAAAATCACTTTTTTGTTTTAATGTTGTTATATGAAATGACAAATCTTCATTTTGTCTTTTTAAATTTGTTTGATATTTTTCGGAAAGAATTTCATAATGATTTATTTGTTCATAGGCATTTGTTCGACGAACTTCCAAAATTAATTTTCCAATTTCCATTCTTTTTTCATCAAATTCTTTTTTTAATGAAGAAACTTTTTCTTTTTGTAGATTAAATTGTTCTGGAAGATAACATTCAAGAATCTCCGTTGTCTTAGAAGTAATAAGTGTTTTAAACATCTTTTTCCCAAATAATAAACGTTGAAAATATTCTTCAATTTTCAACGAAATTTCTAATCGAATTGGATAATAAAGATTTGATTTTGATGTTTCTATCGGATGAAGAATATAAGTTAATGGCCAATGATGACCGACGTTCGATTCAATTTCTTGAACTGAATCGTAAATTTGTTGAATTGTTCGTTTTTCAGTTAAAAGAGGAATATTTGAATAAATAGAAAATAAAGGTATTTGATCATTCGAATATTTATTCGACAACTTTGTGTTTTTATTCAGA